ATAAAAATAAGAATAAATTTAAAATAAGAAAGTAGGCCGGGCGCAGTGGCTCACACCTGTAATCCCAGCACTTTGGGAGGCCGAGGCGGGTAGATCACGAGGTCAGGAGTTCGAGACCAGCCTGGCCAACATGGTAAAACCCTGTCTCTACTAAAAGTACTAAAATTAGCCAGGCATGGTGGCGGGCGCCTGTAATCACAGCTACTCAGGAGGCTGAAGCAGGAGAATTGCTTGAACCCAGGAGGCAGAGGTCACATTGAGCCGAGATTGCACCACTGTACTCCAGCCTGGGCAACAAGAGCAAAACTCTACCTCAAAAAAGAAAAAAAACGTAAAATGAAACCAGTGAAAATAATTTCAATGAGATGTTTTATTTAACCTAATCCAAATTACTGTTTCAATACACAAATATAAAAATTATTAATGAGGTATTTTATTTCATGTTTTTAGTTTCTTACTAAGTTACTGAAATCTGGTGTGTATCTTACATCTCAATTCAGACTGACTGTGTTTATTTGTTTATTTATTTATTTTGAGTCAAGGTCTCACTTTGCCACCCAGGCTGGAGTGCAGTGGCACGATCATGGCTTACTGCAGCCTTGACTCCAAGTAGCTGGGTCTACAGGCACATGCCACCACACCCGGCTAATTTTTTGTATTTTTTGTATTTGAGATGGGGTTTTAGTAGGTTGCCCAGGCTAATCTCGAACTCCTGAGCTCAAGTGATCTGCCTGCTTCAGCCTCCCAAAGTGCTGGAATTACAGGCATGAGCCACTGTGCCCAGCCTGGCTGCGTTTCAAGTTCTCAGTAGCCACATGTGGCCACTGGCTACTGTGTGGAGAAACACAGCTCTAGAGATAAATATTAATAATTGGTGAGTTACATTAGAATAGGCCAGACAGGGTGGAAATCTTAAATTATTTTGAGGAAAGTGAGAACAAGACTAGACAGTTTTTAAGAGGTGCATTTTCCTACGTGAGGAAACTATAATTATCTTCTAAGCAATGAATCAACATAAAAAATGTTAGCCATTAGCAAGTGCGGTCTCATATTACATGCTATTATATGACCTGACTTTAAATGTTTCACTTCTGTCATTGGTAATTTTGGAAGGTCTTTAGTTTGGGGTGGTAAGCTTGGCTAAATACTATGGACACCAAACTTCTGAAATGGTCTATTTTAGAAAGTGCCTGGTTGGCAGCCAGGCCTGTACGTGGACTGGCATTGGAACGTTTGAAGCTGTCCCCGCAGCGGTGCCCAATCTATGCTGCTATTTAAGATCTATCCATGAAGGGGTCCCTATTGATCTGCGTTTTACATCCCACTCTTTCCCACCTTTGAAAGTATTTCTAAAGACATTGTCATTTCTAGCAGCCCAACCTAGGGTCCTCTAAAAGCAGCTTTTATTCCTCTTTAATCCTTCTGTCCCAATATTGGGTATCTTAATTTAAAGTGAAAGTAAGTAGAGAAAAGAAACGATGATAAGAAAATAATGTGTCTCTCTGTTGTGTCCATTTTTCACTAGTCCTGATCATGAATATAGTGCCAAGAGTTTTGTAACTGTGTGAAAGACAGTTTTCTATTCTGGAGAGATTGATTCGTCTCCGGTTAGAAAATCAGAACTTGCCCTGGAGACAGTATGTACAGATCTAGGGGGGGTAGACCTTTCCAGATGCCTTGGCCTTTCAACATTTTTGACACCAGGGACTGGTTTCATGGAAGACAGTTTTTCGAGGGATGAAGGGTGGGTTGAGTTGGTGGGGGTAGGGGAGTGGGGATGCTTTCAGGATGAAACGGTTCCACCTCAGATCATCAGGAATTAGATTCTCATAAGGAGCGTGCAACCTAGATCCCTGGCATGCATAGGTCACAATAGGGCTCACACTCCTATGAGAATCTAATGCTTCTGCTGATCTGACAGGAGCTCAGGCAACAATGCTTATTCACCCACTGCTCACCTCCTGCTGTGCTACTTGGTTTCTGACAGGCCATGGACAGGTACCGCACCCCTGTTATAGAGTATATGCAACTTGGCCAGGCGTGGTGGCTCACACCTGTAATCCCAGCACTTTGGGAGGCCAAGACAGGTGGATCATCTGCAGTCAGGAGTTTGAGACCAGCCCAGCCAACATGGTGAAACCCTGTCTCTTCTAAAAATATAAAAATTAGCTGGGCGTGGTGGTACATACCTGTAATCCCAGCTACTAGGGAGACTGAGGCAGGAGAATTGCTTGAACCTGGGAGGCAGAGGTTGCAGTGAGCTGAGATCATGCCATTGCACTCCAGCCTGGGTGACAAGCACAAAACTCCATCTCAAAAAAAAAAGAATATATCCAACTTATGTTTAGTCCCAAAATCATAGCCTCATTGGACCCTTGGTATCCCAAAGTATCCTCAGATACTTCCCAAGTGAGTGCCCATTTCCTACAATGAGATCAGCCTGATGGTCCTGGTTATAGTGGATGTGAATAGAAAGAAAACATTGTTATGTCTGCCTCTACTTTGGACTGCCCATGACTTTCTCAATACCAGTCCTAAACGTGAGCAAGCGTCCTTTGCTGCAAGCATACCTAAATGCATGGCTGCTGCTTGGATTTTTGCCACACTCAAGTTGGATCAGGCTTTCTAGGTCAAGTGTATTTTAACTACTATAACCAATTCATGTTTTATAGGCCGTAAAGTTGTTATAGAACAAGCAGAAAGAATATTGCAAAAGCATTAAAAATTTGTGGCAAACTGTAGCATGTGGTAGTGGTTTCACAGATAAACTGCTCATTTCCTACATGTCTTACCACTTCTTCTTGACTCGGAATTAGTTCCTTCATTTTTTATTCATAACTTTAATATTTGCATGGTAAGTTTGTACTAATACTTGTCATGAATATAAACTATCTAGAAACAGTACATTGAAGGAGAGACTCGATGGATACTTTATATTCTAAAAATACTAGTACCAACTGTTTAGTGATCTTTATTATAGAATCAAACCAAATTTCCATTACTATTGAAAAATGATCATTACTATGTATTCTTTTTACTGTGTTTGTCACATTGTAACCTTCCAAACATAAGTTTCCCTCTTCCATTTTTCTAGTAAAACCTATAAGCATGTTTTTGTGGTAAGATAACCTAGCAAAATGAAGCAAATTTCTTTATTAATCACATCCTATATCACAAGACATTTTGTTTCTATAAACAAAATTTCTCTATGAAATAATGAGACGTGGAATCTCATTATTTGAGGGAGAAATGTTGACCCTGCCTTACAAATGAGGAAGATTGGAATTTTGAGTGTTTTACCCAAATAGCTTCTGAATGTTTAATTTTCACGTGGGTCCTTTTGGGGCCTAACATCATATTTAAATGCTGTAGGTATTAAGTGACTTTTTTTTTTTTTTTTTTTTGAGACGGAGTCTTGTTCTGTCGCCCAGGCTGGAGTGCAGTGGTGCGATCTCGGCTCACTGCAAGCTCCGCCTCCTGGGTTCTCACCATTCTTCTGCCTCAGCCTCCCTAGTGGCTGGGACTACAGGCGCCTGCCACCAGGCCTGGCTAATTTTTTTGTATTTTTTTTAGTAGAGACGGGGTTTCACCATTACGTGACCTTTTGACTTTGCAAACAGTTTTTCTTTTTGCCCTTTTCTAAACAAGACAGCACCATTTTCTCATAATTATTCTCATAATTTAGTTCCTAGATTCGTCATATAATTACATGATTTTATAACTGTACTTGTGGAGTGTTGTAGTTAATCAAACATACTCTCTAGTAGTATCATAACTCCATATGTGCCACAAATAGAATGCCAGTTTTGGAGAAGTGCTGTGGTAAGAGGATAAGTTTTCAGTGGGATGTGAGTCTTAATATAGTCATGCATCACTTCAGCATGAGGGTACATTCTGAGACGCGTTGTCGGGCAACTTCATCATTGTATGAACATCACAGAGCATACTCTCACAAACCTATATGGCATAGCCCTTGACACATCTAGGCTGGATGGTAGGGCAGATTGCTCTGACCACTGCCATATATGCAGTTTGTTGTTTTGTTTTGAGACAGAGTCTTGCTCTGTCGCCCAGGCTAGAGTTCAGTGGCAGGATCTTGGCTCGCTGCAACATCTGCCTCCCAGGTTCAGGCAATTCTCGTACCTCAGCTTCCCGATTAGCTAATTTTTGTATTTTTTAGTAGCGACAGGGTTTTGGCATATTGGCCAGGCTGGTCTCAAACTCCCGGCCTCAAGTGATTCCCCGCCTCCCAGCCTCCCAAAGTGCTGGGATTTACAGGCGTGAGCCACCGCGCCCAGCCTGCAGTTCATTGTTGACCAAAACATCATTATGCTGTGTATGACTATATCTTTTTCTTGCCTAGTACTAGAAAATTATTGTCTATGTGACACTTCCTTTAATGCTGTATGCAAGTAAAATGTAAAGTTGCCAGCATTATTTAAATCAACTAGTGGTGGCTCCAGGATGCTAGCCTAAAATTTTGTGGAATTATGGTGAAATACTTAAAATCTAGAACAAGGTTTTTCAAAATTCCATAGGAGTCACGTCAGGTCCCTTTTAAGTTCATAAGAACCACTTGTGGTGCTTGTTAAAGTGATCGATTCCTGGTGCCCTGACCACTGAGTCTTTAATTTAGTGAATCTAGACTAATTTGCATAAGAGTCATTCCAGGTGGTCACACTTTTGAGACAACAGGTCTAGTGTTTCTCAAACTTTAATGCTTATAAGTCATTCTGGGATCTTATTAAAGTGCAGATTCAAGTTCAGCAGGTCGAGGTAAGAGCCCGAGACTCTGCATTTCTAACAGCACCCAGATGATGCTTCGGGAACACTGATTTTGCATCTTGCTCCACCAACAGGTACCTTTGCATTCCCTTCTATAACTGGACACCTTGTTATTGACTGTATTTATTTGAGCTAGGTTTTTACTTCCTTTCAACCCTCTGCTTGATAGGATTGCTTATCTTGTCCTTTTTATTTATTTTCTTTAATGCATATAGATGGGCACCAGTTGCGTCTTGAAGTGCCATCAGCTGTAACCAAAGTTCCAGATCCCAAGACCACAGCCAGGCATTCCTGCCCTCAAGAACTGAAGACGATGGAGCTCTCTGACAGTGACCGACCCGTCAGCTTCGGTTCCACGTCGTCCTCGGCCTCTTCCCGCGACAGCCATGGTTCCTTTGGCAGCAGAATGACCTTAGTTTCAAATAGCCACTTGGGCTTGTTTAACCAGGATAAGGAAGTAGGGGCCATAAAACTGGAGCTGGTTCCGGCCAGGCCATTTTCCAGCAGTGAGCTGCAGAGGGACCACCCCACCGCCGGGCAACAGAACGCAGACGAAGGCAGCGAAAGGCCGCCCAGGGCGCAGTGGAGAGTGGACTCGAACGGGACACCCAAGACGACCACAGACTCGGCCACCAGCCCCAAGCTCCTCTATGTGGATAGAGTTGTTCAGGAAATTCTGGAGACCGAAAGGACTTATGTGCAAGATTTAAAAAGCATCGTAGAGGTAAGGCTGACTTCACTTTTAATGTTCGACATGCAGGAGAAATATGCTTGCAAAAGAGACGGCAAAGCCAAGCCAGGTGTAGGGGATATCTTCTAAGAGGCGGAAGGGATGTGAATGTTTAAAGAGAGAGTAACTTTTAAGAGAAACCCTAAGGCCGTAACTCACTGTGTTAACATCCTCTTAATATTTGCATTAACAAATTAGTTATGAGTGAGGAGCAAGAATGATAATACAGTGCCCCATAGCAGGATGCTGTGTTAATGAATCCTACCCAAGATGTCAGAGTGACTCACACGCAGTGGGGCAGGTGAGCATGGAGGAGGACTCAGGTCTCCTGCAGCATAAGTGGCAGGTGTATGACTGAACCTCTCAGCTGTCCTTACCTTAATCACCACTCTCTACTGATGTCTGGGAGCTTCCAAAACTACTGAGACGTGAATCTCACACTCAACAACTGTGATTTCATTGGCCTGGGTGGGGCTTGGGTGGTGGAATTGTGGAAGATACACAGGTGATTTTAATGTGCAGATAGGTTTGCAGCCGCTGCTCTGTGCTACTCCTGTATTGGTTGGTGTTTGGGGAAAGGGTTGAAAGGTAGAGAAAAGTCATGGGCTTTGTCTTGTCTCAAGTGTCTCCTTTCTGTTCACTGTTTACAGTGAGTAATCCTATATAAATTATTTTGCATATATTATTATTATAATTATAAATTACTTGCACAAATTATTTCATGGGAATTGAGCTCAGCTTATGTGCCAGGTCACATCCTCTGGAAATTCAATTATTTTATTTTGATTTTCTGAGTTGTTTTAAAGGATAAAGCATGAATTATCAGAGAAGCTCAGATGTTAACTCGCTCCCAATTATATTTAAAAATATTACTATCTCAAGGGCAGGTTTTTGTTTTGTTTTGTTTTGTTTTGTTTTTTGAGATAGAGTTTCACTCTTGTTTCCCAGGCTGAAGTGCAATGGCATGATCTCGGCTCACTGCAACCTCCACCTCCCAGGTTCAAGCGATTCTCCTGCCTCAGCCTCCTGAGTAGCTGAGATTACAGGCATGCGCCACCACACCCAGCTAATTTTGTATTTTTAGTAGAGATGGGGTTTCACCGTGTTGGTCAGGCTGGTCTTGAACTCCCGACCTCAAGTGATCCGCCCGCCTCAGCCTCCCAAAGTGCTGGGATTACAGGCGTGAGCCACCGTGCCCGGCCTCCAGGGCAGATTTATATGTTATAAAGCTACACTTGCTTTGCTGCCTACTAATACAGCAGGTTCTTTCATTTGTTAGTACCTGTTTCCTGTTTTAGACATTGACTCCAGAGTATGTTTCACAGTACAGTAGAATATTGCCAGTGAGCATGTTCTTCCCCCAAATACATTCTCATAGCTTTAGAAAAAGAATTCTAAAGCATGACTATGTGTGATCCACAAATGATACTACCAGACTCTGTCTACTAAAAATAGTTATGACGTACCTTCTCAGTAAAAATAGAAAAGTCAATTGATGGTCAACTGAAACAATATGTGGTACCAAATGTAGAATAAAGTAGGCCTGTTTTTAAAAATTTTCAGCAATGATGTCATTTATACTTGAGAAGAAATACCTGTAAAACAGCCAAAAATTTTACAGCCTCTCAGGAAACATATGGTTATTCAAGCTTTCTTTGGTCTATGCTTTTTTTTCCTTTCCTTCTTGGAAACTTTTCTACCTAATCAAAACTCACCTTATGGAGAGAAACCTTTAATTACTGAACTGGTATTCCATTAACACTTTTATTTTTTCCTGAGGCTAGTTGATAAACCTTAGGTGAGAAGAAACAGGTAACAGATGAATGAAAGAAAACAGATAAAGACAGAATTTATTTTTTCTAAGAAAATTTCAATGTAAGTTCTATATGAAGCTGTCCAAATGTTCTTGCCTTTTTTCTTTATTCATGAATCAACTGTGTTTTACACTAGGGGTTGGTGAGCTTTTTCTAGGCAGGGCCAGATAGTGAATAGTTTCGGCCTTATGGGCCCTAAGGTCTTGATCACAACTGATGAACTCTGCCATTGAAACTCAAAAGCAGCCACATACACTGTGAAGAACGGGGCCTAAACATGCCAGTACCTCTTTAGAGTCTCGTTTGACCCAAGGGCCACAGTTTGCTCACCCCTGTCTTAGGCTGTAAGTTTATGCCATGTTTCATCAACTGTCAAATGGGACTAATAAGCAGGACCTGCCTCATAGGGTTATTATGAGAATTGGGTAAGATAAGGTATAAAAAGCTCTGCAACTGTGCCTGGCACATAGTAATCAATTAGTAAATTGATTTACTAATTGTAAATAGTAAATATGATTTTGTAAATAGTACACTCATCACTATTGCCAGCCTTCTCCTAAGTTTGCTAGCTGAGAGTGATCACTGTGTATACTATGTTTTACCTAAAGTCTTTCACAAAAATAATCAGATTAGGCTGGATGCGGTGGCTCATGCCTGTAATCCCGGCACTTTGGGAGGCCAAGGTGGGCAGATCACCTGAGGTCAGGAGTTCAAGACCAGCCTGGGCAACATGGTGAAAGCCCATCTCTACTAAAAATACAAAAATTAGCCGGGCGTGGTGGTGCATGCCTGTAATCCCAGCTACTTGGGAGGCTGAGACAGTAGAATTGCTTGAACCTGGGAGGCGGAGGCTGCAGTGAGCCAAGATCACACCGCTGCACTCCAGCCTGGATGACAGAACAAGATCCATCTTAAAAAAAGAAAAAAAAAATCAGATTAGCCAATTCACTAGAGCAGAAATTTAATTAGAGGAAAAAGAAAAAAAAAAAAACCTTAATGGGTGATTTTACCATTATTATTTTGATTATTTCTAATGAACCCACTGGAAATCTGAGGTGGAAATTAGGGGAAGGAGAGGCGCAGAAGGGGGTGGGTATTGGAAAGAAGGGTGCCTGGGGAGGAAGAGTCCCAAATGAAGAGGGAGGGATCCATGCAGGAAGAGATAGATGTTCCCCTGTTCCAGAAGTCACTAGAATGCTTTACATCATTTACCCTGTTCTCCTAGAAAACTTTCAATTGTTTCATATCAGAGATTAGTTGGTTGAAGCCTCTTCATCTATTTTGGCTATGAGACCACAGCTGTTTCTCCAGATCACAACTTTATCAGAGTGGCTAGACCACTTTTATCCAGTTCTTTTCTTAATGGAAAGTAAACAGTTATTGTCAAGCCTGCAGTAACTCTACCCAATAAAAGACTGTCATATGGGTATTCTTTTAAAACACAAAATATCAATTCCTTTAAAATCTGTTTTCCTTGATCTAGTTCTAACCTATTTGTATAATGTTGTAAATGAGTTATCTAATGTTCTCCATTTTTCAAATGCAGAATTTTAAATTAAGAAAAAGGCTGCTTGTTGACAGCCTATAAAACTTTTACCCTGACTAAAAGACAGACTGTTTTTTTAGTTGTCTCTTTATTTATCTATTTTGAATAAGGGTCTCACTCTATCACCCAGGCTGGAGTGCAGTGGCATGATCATTGCTCACTGCAACCTTGACCTCCTGGCCTCACGCAATCCTCCTGCCTCAGCCTCCCATGTATCTAGGACTACAGGCGCACACCACCACACCTTACTAAGTTGCTTTTTTTTTTTTTTAATTTTTGTAGAGACAGGATCTCAATATGTTGTCCGGGCTGGTCTCAAACTGCCAGCCTCAAGAGACCCCTTTGCCTCAGCCTCCCAAAATGGTGGACTTACAGGTGTGAGCCACTGCGCCCAGCCTTAGCTGGCTCTTTCCAAGCAAAAATAATTTCCGGGGGAAAAGAAGCTCATCTAATTGAAGTCATTTTTAATTTCTACAGTAGCGTGATTTCTGACTTTGTACACTCTGCTTTATTGAATCTCCTCTGAGCTTAATTACCCCCATTAGTAGTACATTTTATCTACATGCTGTATAGATACATAATCCTTACCACTCAAGTTTCTATTTCATTTTTAGGACTTGCGAACAGCAACATTTTTGTGAAAGATCATTGATCTGTATACACTGAGTTAAAAAACATGAGCAGGAATGATGATTTGACATTTCAACACAGTCCCAAATATCAGAGCAGCTTATTTTGAAGAAGAGATCCTCCTGACCGCAGTTGAAAAATAGGATTCCCAGATGTTGGTTACACATGTAAAGAGTATGGTATGCCTTTCTTTCCCAGATGTGGAGACATTGTATTAAAATAATCTCACATATTTAGATATTCTTTCCTATGCCGTTTAGGAATTCAGAAATCAATTCCTAATGCTTTCTGAAAGTTGAACCCCAAAATGTGGTGGTTCTTATTCCTGTTGCTCTTCATTCTTCCCCAGAGCCTTCTCTCTCAACCCCTGTCCCCTCCCCAGCTGTGGCTCTTCCATCCTCTGCTCCTAGTCATTTACTGTTGTACACTTGACATTTTAGAGAAAGAGGTAAGATCTTGACTGTGAACCGTAGTCAAAGGAACAATGGAGCTGTTATTTCTATTTTATATATGCCTCTAATAGCATTCATAGATAAATGAGATGATAAATATGAAAGCAAGTTTTAAAAGTTAAATTTCCGATGATACAATTTGTGGAGAGATAGAAATGCATCGTTGGAAAGCAGAAAATCAGGGTCTCTTTAATGTTTAATGGGACCTTCGATTGACTGGGCAGGGACTGTCATGGGTAGGCTGGTTTCTTTAATCTTTCTAAATGATCTATAAAAGAGCCTTTGAGAACCTCCTAAGATTTGGCCTCAGCTATAGTTCATGGCCTGTCGTAGCCTGTTAGTAAAGTTTTAAAATAGTTCATCATGTTAATGCTGTGTAATTAGAAGTTACATTTCTACTACAAAATGGCATCTTTGACCTCTGAGAGATACTAAATTAAGCCATATTTGGTGATATTGAGGACACGTGTATTTAGTGAAAAAACTGGCTGAATTGTTCATTATAACATGATTTTATCTTTTTCTATTATATGTCAGAGAGCTAAAATCCTT